AAATAAATAAATAAATAAATAAATAAATAAATAAAGTCAAACCATAGAAATTATTCTGTTTAACACATAAATTACATACTTAGTCCATATTTTTTGTATTTACTATTAGACAAATATTTGTCTAATTTACTTATATTTAAAATCTTGAGCATACTGATAAACTTTTTAGCCCATGAGAAAAGACTATCCAAACAAAAGATGAGTTACTAAACCAACAGCCTAAGAAACATATATTAACAAACCTTTACACTATATATCTGTTACTAAAACTAGTAAGTATGATATCCAAGAGAAAAGAGCTAGAAAACTATCATGCATGCTTCAGTTAATCATATACAATATAGTTGTCTAGCTAAGGATAAAAAAATGAAATAAATATCTACAAATGAACCAAGTGAAATGATAAAATACACTAAACAAAGTTTTAAAAATTAAAGGTCTCTCACTGTTTTCCATTCAGAAAAGATATTTTCAAGAGATCTGATTAATCCCATGGTATTTTCTTTCATCTGTTTGGTAACCTATAAAAAATGTTAAAATGTTTTATTACACAATTACTTAGAAATGTAAATATCCTCAAACTGAATGTGACTAAAGTTCTTCTAGCTTAGAAGCCAGAGACTGAAGTTCTAAGACTGCAAGTAAATCACTTGAGAATACCTAAGTCTTATAAGTAGGATTTCTTTTAAAATAATTGCATATTGATTTCTACACTAAATATGTATATCTGCTGATGTCTGTTATAATAGCAATGGGATTTTCTTTTTATTTAAATGTTTATGAGTATGAAATTTCCAAAACTTCCCTTGGAATGAAGATAATATATGAAGCAAATATTATGCTCTAAGAATTTTAGAAATGTTTTGCTATTTTGGTTCTCAGTTACAGCCTTATGCTACATATGGTAATGTCCTTAGATCCTAGGTCTTAATTCCTAAAACATAACCAGGGTGGGAGCCTCAGTCTAAATTCTAAACTTCTGTTTTTATATTGCTTAATGCTGCCCCCTAGGGTGCAGTTTAAATTGTCAGGCAATTCTGCCTAAGTATTTAAATGGCTTTACCCACAGAGTTTTTATGTAGGGCTAACTCAAATTTGTTATATATGATTTTTAAAAAAATCTAAATTTGTTTTCTCCTAATAACAAAATTTTAAACTTAATTATAGCTTTAAAATTATAACTCCATAACTTACATGTTTGAGCCTATTTTCTATTTCTTTGGGTAGTCTATTTTTCTGCTGAAGGTTCTGAGTTTTTACTTATGTTATGGACATGTATCAACTCCCCACAAGGAATGTAAACATTATGTACTCCAAGGATGTACTAATAAGTAGAAACAAATAGGCAATGAGAATAAATTAAAAGGGGGGGAAGAACATGATAAGCTAAAATCTCACCATTAAAAAAATGTACAGCTATGGCAGACAGTAGAAAGAAAATTCAAGGAGAGTGTTCTATAGAAAGCTGTAAATAATATAAATTAAGATATAAGATAGGCCTGACTTTTTTCTATTTCCTCAAAACAATAACAAAGCTAACATCTACATCTATTTTAACAGCTAAGGAGCACAAATTCACATATATTATTTTTTTTCCATTTTCATTAATTTATCCTCTACCTTTTTGTACTTACTACCAAAAAACTTCAGACATAATTCCAATAATAAAATATTTTACTCCAATATGACCCTTTACTCAAAGTTGCATTATAGGACCCAAATCAGCTTCATGCCTACTGTAACACGACTAGATCCATACTCTTGGTTTAGTGACAATGTGAAGTCCTTTTGTTTTTGTTTTTGGTACCAGGGATCAAACTCAGGACCTTGCACTTGCTAGGCAGGCGGCGGATCCACTGAGTTAAATCCCAGGCCCAGGTCCTTTTTTTTTGCTGAAACATTCAGAGTTTTTATTTATCAGGAATGTTAATACTTATATTTACTTGTAGAACAGAATCACAGAGTTGTGCAGGCAAGGATATTAGTAGGGCTCAAGGGTTTAGCACAACATCTAGTACACAGTAGGTTACTCAATAAGATGTCTTATTCTCAGATGCCAACTTCTGATAAAAATGACTATCAATTAGTCACTTTTTATAGATGCTTTTTGACTATTGTTCTACTACATTTTTGCCAATTAAGGTTTTTCCTTGTTGTTGTTGTTTGGCTTTTTTTGTTTTGTTTTAGTTATTTTTAAAGGTGAGGTGATAGGTAGGGGTCCCTTCCCCCAGGCAACAGAATAGTATTCTTATTAGAAGATCCTAAGAACGAGCAATTCCATCATGCAAATTGTTTTGTCAGAGAAAAAGAACATGTGCAAGCCAGATGCATGATGTGGGATACACCAAGCACTATTTTTAGCATTCTGAATACATTTTTTCTTAGTCTTATATACTCTTCAGAACAATTTTATGAAATAAGTATAATCATCCCTATTTTTATAAAGCGAGGCACAGGTACATTATTCAAGGCTACATGGGAGGAAGGAGAGCAGCTTGCTGTCCATGTCTTTCTGAGTCAGATGGTCTGTCTGACAGAGATGAGTCTCTCTACCCCTGCGGTCTGAGAAGGATGGAGAATCCCTATGGCTTACACTGAGTGTTTCACCTCAGGTGAAGTGGTACATTAATATCAAAGTTTTCCTAAAAAGCAGAGAAAAAAATGTAACTTACTCCATGCTTTCCTGGAAACAGTGATCCAGAGGGGTATTTTCTAACAGCACCACTTCACAGCATCTACTTTTCAAGATTAATCAATATGTATGTAAATGGATAGACATACTAGTAAGGAAGATATCAGGAGCCTAAATAAATGTCCACACAACTCCATTCTGACCATTTGACTCCAACAAGACAAATGGTATAGACAGAAATGTTTCAAACAAGTTGTCACAAGAGCCTAGAACAGTCATTTCTCTGGAATTTAGTGTCATAAAATTTGAATTTTTATATTCCTAACCCCCACTTCACTAACAGTAACTCTCAGTAAAGAAAATGAATGCATAATAATGATTTATAAAGCCCACTTATGTAGCATGGTAAGTTTTAGAATCAAACAATAGAACCTCTTGGCCTCAGGGGTTTATAGCTGGTTGTCAGACAAGGCAGTCAAACTCACTGAAACTCATAGGGATAATTTGTGAGGCTCACTACTAGTATATGTAAAGTATTTGGTCTAGTAACTACTACAGGAAATTATTCAGCAAGGTGTGTAAATAGCTCACAACCAGTGACAGGCTTTATTATATGTATCAGGTGAAGATGCAGGGTGAGAGCACTGAGTGATTTACTAAATGGTAAATGGAAAGTGCTAGAGCTATGTTTCAAATACTAGTCTTCTAATGTCAAAGCCCAGACCTTTCCTAAGGCGCTCCTGTAAGGCAGCATTGGTTTCACACTGCATTAATGATAGCTGGTTGTAGGGACGGTAGCTACTTCACAGAAACACTGAAATCTCTCACTGGTTCTATGTCTTGATAAGGAAATAACTGAGGTTAATTCCCCTTGAAAAATATTTTTAATTCAAGATAACTGGATCAACATGTTAAGTTTTCATTCTTACCTGAAAGAATAGAGATTTAATATCTACTTGTATTATATTAAAATAAAAAACTTTAAAAGAAAGAAAAAGACAACCAAGAGGGAACGCAAGGTGTCACTTTCACACTCCCTTCTGCTCAGTACTTCTTCAGCCCGAACTCTCACTGAGACATCTGTGTGAAACCATCAGAGGTGAACAAAGCAGAGGCTGCAGCAGCTCAAGAACGGGGGAAGAGATCACCATGACATCCAATACCACCAGTGTCTTTATAGATTCAACACAAACTAGGACACACTAATTTCTAAAATACCAATTCACTGCATTAAACTACTTTTTAAAAATCAACTTCATCATTATCTGGTACCACACAGTACATTCTTTGATTCTTCATACCTCATTTTGTGCACACTGCCTTAAGAGGTCTTGCTGAAGTTCTTTTGCTTTTTCCAGTCCAGAATCTAACAGAATCTTCATTCCTGAGTCTACACCATCACAAAAAGCATCCATGAATTCCTCCTAGAAAAGGTATTTCAACATTAACTGGTAAATTTATTTTTCTGTATTTTTTAAAATTATAAGGTAATTAAGCTTTATTTTCTGCTTACTCTAGGAACTCAAATACATTTTAGGTTTATTAAATTCAACTGAAGCTAGAATAAAAACTAACAGTCTATTAGGAAATAAAATTAGCAAAATTATAATTTAGTGTTCCATGTATAATACATGATAAGGAATGTTTATCATTTTAAGCAGGACACTATTTTGCTAGAACACAGTAACATTCTAATATAATACGTTTCATTAGCACAAATATTTAAAGCAAGCAAATATAAATTTCTTACAATTATAGTTTTTCAGATGTTTATTGGGTAAGAAAACCTACCACAGTAGATGGCTATCATCAAACCAAGACTCTAAAAGGTAAAGTAATATTTATAAAATCATCCAGTACATTTAACTAATTTAGACTGAAAATTTTTTAAATTGTATTGTCAAACTATAAAAGTACACATTATTTTGAAAATGAACTTTGTCATGTTTAGTGACACTATCATCAGAAGCCTCTAATGTTCTTTCAGATGAAGTCTTTCAAAACTAACGTTGCTAAATTACCTGGACACTGGCAGCCTTGTTGTTACTGCTTTCCAAAAAATACAGCTTGTTCCCTTTTAGAACTGCTAATTTTCCCACATATTTGACAGCTTGTTGTATAATTTCGATCACTTTCTTTTGAGCCTCTTTTACCATTGATGAAATATCTGAACAGCATCCCTATAAGACAAAATTGATCAGTGTGTCAGATACATGAGATTATAAAGGGATGGTAAAGCAAAGACAGAATAGGGGCTGGGAATGTAGCTCAGCAGTAGAGCTTTTCTTTTTTCTGTTCCCTGCTCCCCTCATTGGCCCTTAGAATACTTCTCTTGGCCTGCTTTCTGGAAGATGCTAATTGTACTTCCACAAGCTCAGGATTCTCAAACCATATTTCCAAGAGAAAATATAGTCAATAACACCAGTTTTGCCAGCTTCAAGTGAAGGCTGAGGGGAACTCACTAGCCTGCCAGTCCCCTGAGTTTTCATCCTTGAGGTCTTATATAAAACACTTCCCAGCTTACAGGTTGAAGTATTCTTCCCAGAAAATGAAGAGGAAAGAAACCACATACCAGTTACTCTAACAGATACTTTTTTTTTTTTTTTTTTTG